AGGTTAAATGAATGAATCAAGAACAGGAAATGGGAACTGATCTTAAATAATTCAAATCCAAACCAGACTGGGAGCATGGCTCTGCAGGGCATGTGCACTGAGCTCAGGAAGCTGCCTAAACACACACTGAAATAAAAGTCCAGAAGGATACTGTCCTCCTAAAGTACAACTATTTATTAGATTTTGCATGAAATCTACCCAGTCCAGGAACCCAGAACCACTGTAAGAGCCCCAGCAGTGCCTCTCAGAGCTGCACTGGCTGGAGCTGCTGGCAGCTGCCCAGCCAGATGAGTGGGAACCAGGCATTGTGTAACAGAGGCGTTTTTCAAGGAGTTTGCACAGACACAGGGAGAAACAGCAGAAATCAAAACTGTCTCATTTTAATGGCAGCATCTAAGATCCCAATCATTATTGGCCAAATGCTGCTACAACTCTGGGACGTGGTGGTGGGGCTCTGCTCCCTTCTGAGAAGACAGAGGTCCTGAGAGCAGAAGTTGGCAACATGAAGCTACCATTCCCTGTTTTCTCTTGGGACAGAACTGTTTAACAGCACAGTGAACAATTGCTACACCATAAATGTATGGGTTTTTTTAAAAAAAATCTTATTGAGTTTAAATTAACACTCTTCCTAAGAGATTTTGGACCCATGATTTCACACACTGGTGAAAAACTACATCTGGAAGTACATATACCACTGAACAGAATGAAAGCCAGACTAATTTAGACAGATGTTCTGTGTTTTATTAAGGCTTCATGGAAGAAATTTTTTGCGATTCTGGTCACTGCTGAGAAGATGGAGAACCTGAATGGGAAAGTCAGAGAAAGCTCCCAATCTAGAGGCCAACAACTCCCTTTTGGAAAAGTAAATCATGGAGAAAGAAAACCCAACAAAACCAAAACAGAATTAAAAGTTTTAGAATTTCTCCCTACTGCAAAATTAAACTGGTCTTGAGAATGTTTTGTTGTCACTTAGGAGTGCTAAACAACAGAATTTCTCTCAGAAGCAGGATACAACTTGCTTTTCTATCAATTCACCACAAACCACAAAGGCACTGCTCAAGTGACTTTTAAACCTTATCCTGACTAACCCTCCTCTCTGCAAGGCAGGCACTTTCCTTATTGGAAGATGTACAAACACAGTGGTCTGACTGCAGGCCTGAACTTCATAAAGGGAATTCTGCCACAGCCTCACCTTTCTCTGCCCTCTCCAGCCCCTGTCAAGTCCTGGTCAAGGGCTGGGCCATCTCTGGCCCCATGAACCACCTGAGGCAGCTTCAACCAGCAGGGTGGGCAAAGCCAGCTCCAGCCCCCTTGCCCAGAGGCATGAGAACTCTGTGGGACAGAGGGGCTAAATTAATGGAGTGCCATGGAAGTTTCAAAGTCATTGGGGCATGGCCCTTCTAGACTGCTTTTTTTCAAAGCTGGTTTAATTGCCAAAGGAGTATATCCAGAGCTCACTCTTCAGGCCATTGCAGTGACCACAAGGACACCCCAACCATCAACACCCTTCATTTGGGACCTAATTATGTGTTCTCTCCAGTTTGTCTGGCTATTAGATCACTGAAAAACAAAGATTCAAAACAAAATCACCAGGGTACAATTTACAGGAAAGATAAGCACCAGATTGACGACATAATTTATTTTTGGCACTGAATGAGTGGAAACTTCAGCTGCAATGACAGGCAAACAAATGCTCATACTAAGCTTAAGACTAGTATCCTCACCAATTCTGCATGGTTTGATGCATTAGGATCATTTAAAAATATAATATAAAAAATATAATATAAAATATAATATAAAATATATATATATATATATATTATATATATAAAATATATAATATAAAAAATAACAAAGAAGCTCAAGCAAACCCAGGTTCTGAACCTCTTCCCACATGAGCCTTCTCAGTTTAGACGTGAAGATCCATCCTGGCTGCAAAAGGCTGTCAGCCTAACTTCCCTCTGCACAAGCAATGCTTCTGATGGAGCCTGAGCAGCATTACTGACTAGAACAACAACATGGCTTAACTCAGAGACTGCTCTGCTTCAAGTCAGAGCTTTCTCTGCCTTTCACTTTAAAGAGATGGGATCTCAAGCTCTCTGCTGACTACTTGTTGTCCTACTTAGATTAGAGAGAATATTTACCAGATTTAAGGTATCTGGGGAGATAGCAATTCAGAGTTAACAAAGCCATTCTCCTATAAAATTAAACAAGAGTCCGAAGAGGAGAGAAACAGGTCAGGATATGCATCACATAAAATTCACTAAATGAAGTAAATAGCACCTTAATCAAGCAAAAAAGTTCAATAAATGTTTCACCAAAGTCAAAGTGGTATAAGCCACAGCAGATAGGAGAGATATGAAGCCAGGAGGCCTAAGCCAGCCAAAGCCTGGCTTCCCAGCTAAGGCTGTCCTGGCAAGGCAGGTCCTCTGGCTCTGCCCACCCCACATGGGGGCTGCATCTGCCTGTCCCAAACTGCTGAGAGGGCTGGCTGCTCCTGGGGGGGCTGTTCAGCTCTGCCCTGCCAACAGCCACTCCTGCAGGACCCAGTAAACATGCAGCTGCACAGTGAGCTGGCCCAGCTCACTGATTAGACACAAAATCAAATGACCAAAATAAACAATTTAAAAAAAAAAAGTAGTTTTTTAAAAATCCCTGTGGCTGACTGCACAAGGTGGGGTCAGAATGCAGTGGGGAAAATGGGGGGCCAGAGCAGGACTGCATTTCACAGCCAAGCCACAGCCCTGGGGAGTGCATTTAGAGTAACTTACAACTGGAACAAAACCACCCATGAGTAGGATGAACGGAGCCTGAGTGAAAAGCAAACCAGCAGATACTAAACAAGTGACAGAACAAACAAGTAAAACAACTAAGCCTGAGGTTTAGGACAAAGAAAAAGAGACCAGTGCCTAAACTTTTTTTCCAACATTGTAAATTAATAGCCTACACACACGACTGAACAATCCCGCCCACATTCATTCTTTCCACAGCATAAGAAGAAGGAGGAATTAATCACCTGGGGATCCACCATCTAAATTAAATGCAGGGGAGGGCAGTGGAATTCATGTGACATCTGTGAAGTCCAACATACCCTCCTGGTGCAATATTTTTAGTAGGTGTCATTTTTATAAGTATTGGCAAGAATCAAGGGACACTTCAGTAATAAATGTATTCTCTTGAAATTAAGTATTGCTTAACCACATGTGTTCTGCAAATATATATTTTAATATTTAGCATACAGTGGGAAAAAGGATGAAAAATTAAACTTCCCCACTCCTAGATTTATGCCCTAGCATAAATACAATACTGAGTTGTAAGATCACAGCTCACCTAATGAATATTTGTGTACTGAAAGCAAGGTGAAGCAGTTTCATAAGTAAGAAGCCAGAGACCACCAGCCCAGAACAGCACAAAGGTTTATGGGTCTAGCACTCTCTTGAGAAATGAAAGATGCAAAATCAGAACTTGATTCTTCACATGTGTCCAACAGCTATAGAAACAACCAGGAAAGAATAGGAAAGAGGGGGGAAAAGGCATGACAATATATTCCCTTGCATGGTTTTTAAGTAGTCCTGATTCCCTGATATGGACTTGGACTCTCCAAGAAGAACTGATCAAGGTACACCTCCCTTCTGAATGCTGGACAGCTTGGACTCAGCTAATCACCACTGTAAAAACTAAAGGCACATAGAGCAGCAAAGCTCAATGCATTCAGCAAGTATCACTGGGAAAAACCTGAGCCTGCACAGATCAGACACTGAGGATCAGGACTGCAAGGGTCCAGCTCCAGGGTGCGAGTGCTCACAGGATCTTTTAGATGGGAAGGCACTGGACAGCTGTGGCCCCGTGGACATCCCGAGATCTTGTTATTTTCCTGCACAATTCCAGCAGGCTCACTGGAAGTATGCATTGTAGGAACGGTCACAATACCGACCTTCTCATCCTTATCTAGAGAAATCAAATCCACATCTAAGCAGAGTTACAAGACCAGCTTAATTAATGATGGTGTTTATTTCAGATTGCTGTTTAACAACCAGAGTGATCCAAACCACCCAGGAATCCAGCTTCATGGTATGGGCTCAACAGCTATGAACAGGATAATTTGAAACACCTTACAATTATACCTGCTGCTTTAGCAGTGCTCTTGGATACAGCAGGACATAACTTCAGTAAATATGTGTTTTCTGATGCTAATTTCATCCCACGCAGAGGGAAGCTGTCTAGCTATATTCACAACTTCCTTTGGAGTTTTGGCTAAACCACATCTCTAATTACTTGAAGCGTAGATGAAGATAATCTAATTATCTATTGCTGGCATGTGACAACACTTAGCTGCTAATTCACACAGAATATTTGAATTTTAGAAGGCCATTTTCATACCACGTCAGTTCGAAGCACAACTGAACCTCGGACGTAATTTGCATGAAGTATCAATTCCCCAGAACTTCAAAACAGTTACTCCTTTCCTACCTGCATCTCCCAAAGTCCATAGGAACCACAGAGACTCGGCCGCCTCCGCCGGGGCAGCTCCGGCTCCCCGCGGCCGCTGCCCGCACCTCCGTGCCCTGTCGCTCTGCCCGGCCCGGTACCCGCGGGGATGGCGGTGCCTGTCCCTGTGCCCGGCCCGGTACCCGCGGGGATGGCGCTGCCCGGCCCGGTACCCGCGGGGATGGCGCTGCCTGTCCCTGTGCCCGGCCCGGTACCCGCGGGGATGGCGCTGCCTGTCCCTGTGCCCGGCCCGGTACCCGCGGGGATGGCGCTGCCTGTCCCTGTGCCCGGCCCGGTACCCGCGGGGATGGCGCTGCCCGGCCCCGCTGCCGCCGGAGCTGCCGCAGGACGGGTACGAAGCCGAAGCCGGGTACGGAGCCGCCGCTCTCCCCGTTCCGCAGCCCGTTCCGCAGCCGGGCCCCGCCGGCAGGTGCGCCCGCAGCGCTGACTCACCGATCGCTATCGCGGAGGGGGAGTTTCCCCGGCACCTCGGGACTCTCCCCGAGCCTCACCTGAGCGGCTCGCCGGGGCGAGCTTGCCTCCAAATGGCTGCCTTGGACTCTTCTTTGGCTCTTGCTGGACCGTGACACCTGCAAAGTCGGTCCAGAGCTGCCCCTCGCTTTGCTAGAAGCACAACCAGGCTTCTGTTTGAGAGAGAAAAAGCGATTTTTTCGTGTTTTACAATGTCCTTAGAAAACGGCGTGTCCAGGTGGAATATGGATCCGTGTTAGGCTTCGCATAGACACAGAATGAGCGTAAGAAAGCCCCTGCCGCTAGAGTGCATCGTTTGTAGGGTAATTTAGGGACCGCGCACAGTTGATTGGTTTAGACTTTTCAGCAGGAAGTTCTGGTTTGGAAATTTGTTTGCAGGAAGCAGAAAGTTCGGTAAGTCTCAAGGTGTTTTCTCTTCGATTCTAGTTTTTGGTAACTGGAAGTTCTACAATACTCCACGAGGCAAATATGAGGAAAAGGTGGGACTGGATTAGTAGGGGAAAGTGTGTACTTCCCCAAAGAAATGCTGTTTACACTCTGCGAGCATTTAAATTTCCAATCATTGAAGTTTTACACAGTTGTCTTCATAGGTCTTGATTTGCAGTCTTTAGCAGCGTCCCCATTCACCAAGACTGTATTTTTTCCTGTTACAATATTTTTCATTTTAAATTTAATAACACCACAGATCTGCTGCTAACTAGGAATTTCATGCCTGTCATCATGCAGTGGAACACAGCTCCTTCAAGCTCCAGAGCCACTGTAAGGGGAGAGAGACCCTCTGCCAACAGCACAGATGTATAAATTTTGAGCTGACAAAGCGTCTCTGTTCATCTCTGCACAGAGCCAGTGGCAAGTACTGCTATCACATAGCAGAGAGGCTCTACCTCCTGTTAATGGAACTCATGAGATTATGCATGGTCACTGTTTTAAAGAAATACCAGTAACCTGGTATACTTCCAGAATTATCTGAGTCCTCCCGAGGTGTACATTAATCACACATTTCAAGGCATCTCACTGGATTAATTTACACGACCAAACAGCTTTATTTTCACTGTTCACAGGAGTGTGTTGTTTAACTGCTGATAAGGCCCTGTATGCAGCTTGCTGCTATCAAGTTACCTCGGCATTGTCATGCTCCAGGGTTTTTCCGCCTCTCAAGGACTTCCAGTCCTGCCTGAACTGATCTCCAGCTGCTGGAGTTGCAGTGCAGCAGCAGCCGTCCATTGGGACTGCAGGTTGCCTCTCTGATGAAGGAAAAGTCATTAAAACCAGTATTTTTGACGAGGCAGTTAAAGGACAAAACCAGTTTGCAATATGACCTTCCTTCTTCATCCAGGCAAGACTGTGCCCTGTAATTTGAGAGGGCCTATTAACACATCTCTGTGGCTCTTCTGATGGCTTGGGACAACTTTCAGTCTTTTCAGCTGCTTGAAAACTGGGAAGTTTGTTTCAATAAGCACACGATTCAGCTGTGCATGGTAAGAGATGTGGACAACCTGATCTTGTGTGCATGGGGAGAGCATTACTGTCCTGTGACGTTTTTAGCTGGGATGGGAGACAAACCTCCCTCCTTCCTTGAAAGATTTTTGTTCCAAACAAATCTAGTCTGAAGATCAGCAGTGAAACCAATTTACCTCTTTTCTTGTCAGCTGCAAATATGATCTTCCTTCTCTGCCAGCCTCCTGGCAGCACCCAGTGTGCCCCATGCTCTGCTGTATCTTTCTGTAACTAAACCTTCAGAAAGCTGGTGATGTTCCCCTGCCTCACTGACTCCTGCTGTTAGCTCCCCTCTCCTCTGGTGACCATTCCAGGCTGTCATTGCAGCCACCAGTCCTCACTCATTCCTGGTTCCCTGCAGCTGCTCTTGCTCCTCCAGTCCAGGCACCCCCAGTACTAAGAGCAAGGTCATAAACTGGGCTGCTTTTGGCTGGCTCTGCCAAACCACAGCACTCTCAGCTCCAGAAATGCAGGGCTAAAATACTTGAGCAGACCCATGCAGGGCCAATAGAAGAGAATTTATTAGTCTGGGCTGTGCTTCACCTCTCATATTCCCCAGTGAGGCCTGTCTCATCTGTTTTGAACCTCTGCACTGCAGACTTTTTCACTTGCTGCTGAGCCTGTTTATGCTATTGGATTACAACTTCCCAGTGTTTTTCTTGTTGAAAGAGAAGTAGCCAGAAGACTATAGAAAATAGCTACAAGCAGGAGTCTATCATCTCTGGGCCTCAAACCTTTAGGAACTGGACCTGAAATAATAAAAACCCCATGTATAAATACTGACACAAACCTTGAGTAATTATTTACATCTGCAAACACTTTCAAACAGATTAAGACCCTTTTTCTTCACTCTCTGCAAATACTCCAGTGAACAAAGTTTTCAGCAGGAATGCTGATGGAGGCTGCAGGTTTGAATAAATTTGGACTGAATTCTCCCACGTGATCCTTTGCATCAGAAACCTGATCCCACCACCTGTGCACACTTACTGACATGCCAACTTCCATGTTAAAAATCAAGAAGTTCAGAGGTTGAATCAATGTTTGCACAGAGCACACTGAAATCCTTTAAGCACAAAAGTGGAAGACATAATTGCTTATAAGTTCATGCCTAGTTTATGAAGAATTACATGAAATTAAGCAGCTGATGATTCCAAATAGCTTTCCCAGCTCTCTCCCAGCTGAGAATCCTTCAGAGCAAGGAAGCATTTAACACTACTACTTATGAAATATTTTAGTTGCAGAAACTAACATCAAGTGATGTACTTGTGATCAGAGTTAAATTCCAGTGCATACTGCAATAGCCAAGTGATGAGCTCAGCCATCAGGACCTAAAAGCAGGGCGTTTTCAGGACAAGTCCAGCACACAGCCTACAACGTCTCATAGCCAAACTCCATGTGTAGCCACTGAAGTAGGTTTTCTGAGGCAGAGACGTTTTGAGAGAAAAAAATGATTTCACAACTTACATTTCAGTGAAATAGCAGAGTAGTTTTCAGCTAAAGTCTCAAAGAAGTTAACACACCTTCATTACAAACAACTTCTGCAGCCAGAGGATTTTACTACCATTAATGTTTTTGCAGCAGTAATCTTTGTCCCCTGAGGGTTTTTTGGGAGCAACATGGAACTGTTTCCTCATCCTCCTTGTCCTGCTCTCAGCTGGAGCCTGGTTTCTTTCCATTTCCATCATAACCTTTGGGTTTAGCTGACACCTTCCCTCCTCTGCCACAGATGCTGGGTGTGGTCCACACACTTCATTAGAGAAAGCTGCTATAATTTTTTATTTTCTCCTTTTATCAAATGCATGTTTAATATCATACTTTCTTGACATTACCTGGTGTAATTCTGTCCACAATCTGAGATTGCAGCCAGTTGCCTTATCCCACAGAGCTGCAGAAGGACAGCTTTATTGCACAATGACCAGTACCATTTGAAAATGTTGCTACAGTGCCCAGACAAGCAATTACATGGAGATACTCTGCTATTCAAATTAGACACTCTCTTTATCTCATTCAGATTTGATGTACTGTGAATTGAAAATACATTTTCTGGCTTCTTATGTTTTGCCTTATGCTGTAAGCAGATTTTCTTTGCACACACACTTTGTTAATACATTCTGATAATAAATCCAAGGAGGGGCTCATCCTTTGTGCACCAGAACACTTTGGTCCTGTCTCTCCACAGCCAGTCCCACATCTGTGTGAGCTGCAGCAGTTGTTCTGCACTCCACAGACGCCTTTAACATTGTCAGTGGCTGCCAGCCCCAAACTGTCCAAAGGTGACGAAAGGTTCCAGGGTAGATAATCACTGAGGCGCAGGGTGCTGCTCTGGACAGGCCATCAGCTTCAGCCCAGAGTGATGAACAGGAGTAATTGTGGGTGGAGGAGCAAACAGGTCTGTTTCCTCCTCAGGAGACATTTGTTGCTGCTGCTTGTGTCTAGGGATCAAAGATGACAAATCCAATAAACTCAGGAGGCATGATAAACCTTTATGTGTAGTTCAGAAAAGGATGTAACAAGAGCCAAGGCGTGCTCTTTGCAGTGTTTTCTAATTTCATCCTTCTTTTGCCTGACTTCATTAAGATGCTCTTAATCTGGCACAGGTTTGGGGGGACATTGTCATGTCTACTGAAAATAGACAAGACTAAATGATAGCAACGTATTGACACTTTCAGATATTTTTTATAGGTCTTATACCTGGAAGATTGTGGGTAGGTGATTCTAGCCCAGCTTTAAAATGAGCTTACTACATCAAAAATCAGTTGGCATATCAAATGTATCATTTAGATCCAAACAATTCCAGTAGTTTCCTCTTTGATTCGATGCTTTAAGACAATGTACAGTCTGACAGTTTGAAAATTAAAATTTTCAGGGTTCAAGATAAAAGAGAAAGTTAGAACCTTATGTGCTGCTGATTTCAGGAAAGATATGAAAGATGAATTATATTAAAAGTTCCTGTCTACCTTTCAGTGCAGTAGTTGGACTTGGTTCAATAACAGGGTTTCAAAATGTTTTCAAACCTTCATTGTTAGGGGAAGAAAATCCCTACAACAAAACAGGAAAGACTTGTTTCAGGAAAGGCTGTTGTATCACTGAAAAAGGGCCCATGGAACACCTGACTCTGAAATATGCTTATTTATTATAAACAATTTCCATGGCGTCACATTGACAAACATAAAAGGTCACGAACTCCTGTATTTGAAGAAAATGTGTTTGACATCTGGGATCTGGCAGAAGTGCCTCCTGTGGGATAGATTGTTTCGCAGAGCTTTATTGAAGAATAATATTAAGAATGAATTACGAAATATTAGTGTAACCTAGTAAGAAATTATTGTATTTTACAAGCCAGAGACATAAGAGATCTTACAGAACTATTTCAGTTCATCTGATGTAAAAGCACATCAAGGAATGCTAGCTGTGACCAGTTAGCATTGAAAATCTGTGGGTGTGCAATGCTGCAGTTAGAAATGGACTGAAGGGAGAAGCCCAAATACAGGCAAAGGCTTAAACATTTGTCTGTGTTTTCAGACATCCCTGCTCTATGAAGGGATTGGGGAGGGAATTGCCAGGGAGCCTCAGTAGCTGGGGAAGCCAGGGGCTGAGTGGGAAGCCAGGCCACCCCCATGCACCCCCAGGCAGCGAGCTGGGCAGCATCCCCAGCCCAAGGCATCAGACACCTTCCTGGGGCTGGGGGGACTTCATGGTCGTGGGGAGCTGGAGACTGGCACTCCTACACTTTATCCTCTCTCCCCTCTCTTACCCATGCCAGTGAAAATCTCACAGGCACAGCCCTTTCCCTGCCTGGGAGTGCTCCCTGGGCTGTTTGTGAATCCCAAGAACATGCTCTCCCACTAGGCTGGGGTCATGCCATCTCGTGGGGTACTTCTGGGATGTCTTCCCAATCACTGTTACAGTCCCACTTGCTTGTG